CGCCAATTCACAGTAGTGATCCACACTAGCTCTGTCTGTACGCGTGAAGTCTACAGTTTTCTTTGCTGCGGATGAAGGGCCCTGTTGGTGCGACAGGGCTTGGCGCGCAGCCAGCTGTTGAAGCAGTAAGCGACAACAACTGCTACTAAATGGCTGATACAACGATAGGATACACTGTTGTCTCTGGTCGAAAAAGGAACGGTCCGGTGTGGCGCCAAGCCCATTCCCACTTCACAGGCCACATCATACGGAGCGAACAAGATTGTCTGTTTAGCCCTTGGCTAGGGCTAACCTCTTGCCTGTGACTCAGCTTTCTCATGATCTTCCTCAGTGTCTCAACGACGAGTTGGATTGAGAAAGAGTATGTTGGTCGATTGCAGAACTTGATGGATTTGACTCGACGCGGCTGAAGGAAATGATTCATGGCGAGATTGAGAAGACGCATGGTTCGATAACAATGGAGAAGACTTTCGAGCCAATCAGGTTGGTCTGGTTTTTTTTAGCCAGTTGGAACTGTTAATGCACATTCCTTCGGAGCAGCTAGCAAATGCAAGAACTAAAATCTGTTTTTCTATTTCAGCAAGTATCTTTGGACACTGAGGGAAAATCTGAGCAACATTTTCAACGCGTTAGATAGTGGATCATTGGAGGTGGAGCCAAAAGATAAGGTCTGTTCAAAGATCCCCTAACACTGTGAACATGACGGAAGGACTTTGCTTCAGGGTTTCCCTCCAGTACTCGAAAGGGCACACCTTCGAAAGCAAGCAGCTGCCGAAGCAGAAGGTCTGCGCTGGCAGCTTGAGAAGAAGGATATGGAAATACTTGAGCTAAAGAAGACAATCAAGAGTAGGCTTGATGATATCAGTAACTATAAGGTAGGTTTTATTCGCGTTTAATTTTGAAACGAAAAAGTCCGAAAGGGGTGCAGAGCATTTTTGTGGTCTTGTCTGATTGACTGTATTGCTGATCATTTCCCGCCTCCTGGGATCACAACAGAGTTCTTGAATTTTAGCTTCGCTTGGACATGGCTGAAGCCCGAATTGAATCAGCAGGCAAGCAAGACAATGTAAAGGTACAGCATCTGGAGGCGAAGGTTGAACAACTCGTGGCTGATAATAAGAAGAAGCAAATGTAAGTTTGATTTTTAGATCGCCAGCATTCAGATGCAATTCAGCGGACATCCAAGTTTTGGGCTAGGCTGCGATAGAGGCGTTGATGGTGTCGCGTGTGCGTTATTCGCACCAGACTCGAGGGAAACCGAAGCGCACAACTATGGCCGATTTAAAGGCACGTTCCGCGATAAACTAAGGCTAGGTTCTCATAACCGTGCACGATGGTCAAGCAGGCAACGTCAGAGGCTATGCTGCTTTTAAAAGTTGAAAAACAGCAAGCAAAACGCAGGCGCTCAGGTTTTAGGCCCATTGGCGCCCGATAGGCCCATGCCGGCCTCCAGTGACCGTGTCGTTGTGAGACTGCCATTGCGCTCTCTCGCCCGTCGTTTTCTGGCCTCTCTCGTCTCTTATCAGTGTATCGCCGCCTTTCGCAATTCACAATTGATCTTGACCACTTCCGGTGATCATGATCAATTGCAATAAAGAGGGTCTTATTCCGGGCGCTTTTTCGTGCTTCCTTCTTCTTCAGTAAGTCAACAAGCACCTGGCAATCCTATTTTTGAACTGTAACACCTATGAAGTGTGGTCGCAGGAAGTGCCTTTAAATAAGGGAAGTAGCACAGAAGTGTACAGATCGGCGCTGGTGCTTGTGTTTCGCGGGAGAATGGGGAATAGGGGGGGATTGATTGGGGAGGGGGAGGTGCCTAATCACACTGGCGCTATGGCTCTGGGAGAGTATGGAATAATGGGAGGGTCCCTTACTTATGACCAGGCGATGCGTACCCTCCTGTGCTCCCACAGCCTCTCAAAGCATTAGCGGCCAGCGATGATCGTTACCCGTCTACAGCATTGTAGCCCTATTGCAACTGTGGCACGTTACAACGCATAATCGCAAAGTCTGAGCGCTGCCCTAGAAGTACTGAACATTAGCCAGAATTGGTGCTCAGCTCAACTATTACGTGCTCCTTTCAGTGAGTTTGATGAGACAATGGACGCGCTGCAGAAAGAGCTAAAGGAATGTGAGCGTGAGAATGCTGAGTTGAAACAGATGGCGAAGAACTTCTCAAGAAAAACGCTTTTGGAGGTGAGTAGAACAGTATGTCCTCGTGGACATTAACCTTTGCGCTGCGAATCGACTTCATTTCCCATAGGCTTACGAACACATTCTGCTGTTTGTTAACGGCATGGTGTTCGCTTGGATTTCCTTTTTTTTTTTCAAAAGCAATAGTTGCGATGACTGTTTCGCTCACATGCAGGTACTAGGAGGAAATGGCGTTGAGCTTGACCTGCGCCTTTTTTCATTTCTTTGCGATGGCTGAAGATTTCATCTTCTTGGCTTGTATATTCTGTGCCAAATGCCTCATTTGCTTAATTCAGGCGTTAGTATTTAATTCCCTGCAAAAACAGTCGGTGAGTAAATGTAGCTTAAGTGTTGTTCTCGGGGGTGGTTTCTCATTCTGATGATGTAATGATAAAACTCAATTATGAAAGGGTCAAAATCCTTGCATGATTGCGTTTTTTTTCCAAAGGTACAGTCTGTGCTGATCGTATCGGCGTCTTCCAAGCCTCTAACCATATGAGTAGCCAGGGTACAGCATACTGATGGGAGAAATACGGTGTCGGACGGCTTTCACCCCAGACTTCTTCCTCCAGTACAACGTAGTTTCCCCTTCCTTCCCAACCTCTGAGTTTTCCCAAATTCATACCACTCTTCCGATGAAGGTCCACTAGGGTGTTCCGATGAAGGTCCACTAGGGTGTTTTTTGCCACATGTTGTTTGATTCCTGGACCGATCACGGTTGGTAGGAAACCCGACGGAGGGCGAGCTTATTCCACGCCTCCTGACACCACCCCGACTGGTTGCGACGATATCAACCGTAAAGAAGAGAAGCACACCTGTGAAAAGGTATAACAGTAGGTGATCTCGCAAATGGAATCAGCATGGACTTTGCCACCTATCCATCACGTCTCAGTGACTGTTGTTTTCTTCTAAAGTTATTTTGTAAGCATGTCTACAAAATCGTTTTGCAACTGGTGGTATCCATTTGGTGGTGGCTGGATTTTCCGAATGGTATGGCGTGCAGTTGCGGCGTAAGTTGGTGAAGTGCACCAATGTAGAACGTAGAGTGCTGCACCTATGTCTCGGTGCTCTTCGGGCTTGATGTTACACTCAAGCCTTATCAATGACTATGCGCTGTGCGCCATATTTCAGTATATTTCTATTCTTCGAGCTCTTCTTTCTCGTATTGTTGGGGTTCTTCTGCTGAGAAACGGTGCCTTGTGGGAAAAACGAGTGTAATTCTTTCCTGTTCACACTGCTATTTCGGGCAATTTAGGAAGTCATGTGTTTTTTTTGCACGGTTTCAGCTAGTTTTTGTTAAAGTGCTCATGATGCCATGTTCATATTTGCTGCTCTCTACTCATAGACTGCTCATGCCAGCGCAGGTCCGCCATTAGAGATTCCAGAGCGCACAGAAATAGAGGACTGAGGCTCCCAAATAATCGAAAGCTGCTACAAACATTTTGTGAACCAGGATATAGCTTTTTCCAAGGAACGGAACTCCTGGAAACATTCCAACTTCCGCTTATGAGAAAGTAAGCCACTACTCATAAGTGAAAAGCTGGAATTTCAAAGGTCACAGTGGCCATATAAGCTCATGCAGAGGTGAGAGCGCAGAGAAAAACTAAAGGATAACGCGAGTCAAGGGTTTGAGTTCAAGTTGTTCGTAGACCCGCAGTCTTGGAGGAGCGCCGGCAATCAAGTCAGCACTGGTTCGTGTTTAGACGCAGAGGTGCAGTCCTGGTCGCATCACCACGTACCGCCTTCCCCCCCTGCTCTCACTTACGGTATGTCTGACTCATTCTGAACTTCCTACTTGCTTTCCCGCTTCTTCTTGTCCAGAACAAGTTGCGCTGCAAGTATGAATGTGGCTCTGTAACCTGTAGGTGGTTCACGCATTCGGTAATTACGAAGGTACTACTCGAATTTGCTTCGAATCCTTTTTCAGAACATACAACGTCTTGAGTCACGTGCACCGAGTCCATCAGTACATGCCACTTCTCCAGTGGGACTCTCACTGGGAAGAGAGGAAGCCGCCTTATTGGAGCAGCAGCTTTCTGATAGTCGTGAAGCTCTTCGTCGCGCTACACTGCAGATTATTCAATTAAAGGTTACGTTGCTGTGAAATATCCATCCAAATTCACCCTAATTTTACGCATTTGAAGGCCGATCTTGCTCTGGCGCAATCGCGAGGTGGTGTGATGCGATTGCCCGAGATGGTCTGTGGACCAGAAACTCTTAGAGCCAAGGAGAACGACTCAGTGCTGGATACGATTAGCAAAGAGGTGGAGCAGTTGAAACGGGTGAGGCTTCCTCAAGAGTTCTTCTGTCTTTTCGCGTTCTAAAAAAAGATGACTGTCACAGGAGCAAACCTCGTACAGAAAACTGAGGGCGCAGCGTGAGTTGGTGAAATAAGGGTAACATGTTGTAATTTGGCATAGGAAATGTTGAGCGATGCGTTACCGGAGGAAACAGCAAAATGAAAAAGTCCTGAATGAGCCCCTCTTTATTTCCTTTTCTCAGCATTGAAAGTTTTTCCTTTTCTCAGCATTGAAGTTCTAAGCATTGAAAATGCTTGCGGCTAAGAGACCTCGAGTTTGGATGGGCCCTTACTTGTTAATAACATAATGGTATTACTTATCTGTAACTCTGTAATTTCACAGTAGAATCTGTGTTATGTGTTGTTTTACCAAAGTTGAGCAAGAGTTGGATAAGGCGAGAGCCTTGCGTGTGGGTGGAGAGCACTCTACGTCATAAGCTCTTAGCACCCTTTTCAAGAAATATCACGGGACCAAAGCAACAGATGTTAGTCGTCTGTGAACTTCGCGCATGCTATTATAGAGGACGTATACTTATCAGATGATTGTGAATCGTTCCTCAGAAGGGTGATAAATAGCTCAACAGCTCCAGGAGACATTTTCGAATAAATATCTTTTATTCAATTTTACAGTTTTTACAGCTGTAAACGTGAAAAAAATCTGCTTTCAGGATGAGTTGAAATACATGGTTTTCATTCCGGATCTATCGCGACCACGTCGCCTACAAGAGCAAGATAGAGCTCGTTTCGAGAAAGAGAAAGAAGCTTACAATTATCGTGTTCAGACGGTTGGTTACTTAGGATTCCTCCCTTCTGCGTTAATAGCGGCCTTGTTCTCATTTCAGTTATTGTCGAACTAAACAAAAACAAACTCCGGCTGAGGAGTGAGGATTCACTGGTCAGCTTTATAAAAAAATTAATGCACTTGAAAAAGGCTAGCACTAAAGTCCCCTTCTCTCTTTCGGTCATCCAAATTTTGCACGAGGAGTTCCTGAAATGTGCTCCTCCAAGTCTGCGAGCTCCTTGAAATCTGGCGATCTGATGGAAGATGCCAGCCAGTTCTTTGTTCTGTCAATTCTTGAAATGGTGGCTGGCACTTGGCAAGTCTGCTTGCTGAAGCTGTGGCAAGTAGTGCAGTTACAATGGAGGGAGAGAAAGACGACATCGAGTGCATGCCACGCCCCGTCTTTCGAAAACGGCTACATACGACCCTAGCCTCGCCTACACCTCACTTCGCCATTCACCACAGAGTTCTCTTTTACCATTAGTCGCTTGCCAATTTGTCAGCTTTCGACTCTTTACTTGCTTACGCTCTTCCAAATTTCTTCCCTTTCCTTTTCAAGCACTCCAAATGAACTTAATTTGATTGTCTGTCTTTCAGCTGCGCACTAGGCTTCATCAGTACTGGAAAGAAACTTGCCCAGGACAACCATTTCCAAACCTCTTCGGGCTTCCAGCTCAAAAGCAAGCGAAGGTGAGATTTTTTGCGAGTGCGTCCTGTGAATTTTTTTACTCTTTGTTCATTTATTTTATTTATTTACTTATTCTTTTATTTGATTTGATTTTCTCTACTCTTCTTCGCTTGACTGATCCAATTTATTTTCTTTTGAAATACTTTTTTCTGCCTTTTTAGGTACCCGATGTCAAATACGGTACACAGGCATTCAAGGATATAATCAACAATTGGGGTGTAAAAGCATAGGGTCGTCACAGAGCGCTCTGCCTCCTGCTCTTTTCCTTACTCGCACTGTTTCAATGAAGTTGTAACGTATAGGCCTTTTCGTTGAATCTTGCAAGGGGATCTTGTCTAATTTGGTGAAAATGCTACAGGATAGATCGATTTGTACGAGTTTGCCGGTAGGTTATTGACTGAGATCTAAGAGTTATCTGGTAGAATATCAAGGGCTTAAGCGGTAATTAACATATTCGAGTGCTAACACCTTGGAGGGGGCATTTGAAGGACACCTAGTGTAAAACTGGAACTACTAAAACGGAGATATGGACTTCTGCGTCAGGATAAATCAGGAAGGTTCTCTAGAGTGGATGGACCAATCTCAGGCGTGGTATACCTATTCGAATGACGTTAATCCCAGTTATGCCCGGTATGCACTTCAGATACCCTCTCTATGGCTGTTACCCTCATCTTCTTTTATTTATTATCTATCTTCATTGTACAGGTTCTCTCTGAAATCGCCTTGTTTATTGCTAGGTTGTTTTATCATGGTATGCTGGAATTCCCTGGGTTTTACTGAGCTGCTCTTGTAAATATTGAAGTGATTTCTAATCAGCTATTTCTCTATGCATAAATAACAGTGCAAATGAACCCGATAAATGAGTAGTGATTTTTTTACAAATTTTTTTTACTTTTTTTTTTGCTGGGCATGCCAATTGTAATAGTAGCTTTATGCAAATGTCTGTAATTGCCTTTATAAATAGTGATAATTTGTTGTGAACCATTTCTGTACTGTGGAATTTATATTACGACATTTTAAGGAAGCTTTCAGACTTCGCGATGACTTGCGTCGAGTCGTCTACCATTACGACAGCGCTCCAGCGCTATAGAGGGGTATCATCGGCACCAGCTTGACTGCTTTGAGAGAGAGAGAGTATGGGAGCGTAGGGGAGGGGCGCGTCGCATTATCACACTGCTTGCTACCCTCCGCTTTTTCTGTACTCAACCAAAGTACTAGCGGTCAGCATCAATCGATACCTTTCTGCGTTCCCCTCTATAGCATTGGGGCTTGGTTGCAGCGGTAGCGCGTCGATGCGCGTTATAGCGCGTCTTCGCCAAGTCTGTATGCCACCACGTATGCTAGGTACATAGGTCAGAGCTGGCTTTGAGAGGCACACTCAGCAGTCATCATGATTAGAGGTAGTCTTTTCCGTGTACAAAGAGTAGGTTTGCAAATATACTTCATATTCCAAATATGGGGAAGGCGTGGCCACGTACCTCATGTATGCGCGGCAGCAGCTGCGCTTCTAGTAGGGTATCGTTATTTTCAGGCAATCGTGATCATGTCTTTTTCTAGCACAAGACAATGTGACGGGGACGCGTCGGAGGACTGGGTTTAGCGCGGCATAAGTCCATTCTCATCAGTTCTTGAAGAGAACAAAAATGACTACAACAGGAACAGAACGGATGTTCGCCGCGCCAAACCCAGCCCCTTCTGACACGCCCGCACTTGCAGCGAACAGACTGCATTTTCTTTCTTGGCTAGCTGATGAGTTCAGCATGATCTGTTCCATACACTGAAAGATGGAAGATGAGTTATCGACGTGGATGGACCCTTTCAGATTGCGCCGTGCATTCGTTTCGGAGCGAAAATACATGCGAATATTGAAGTGCTGTGCTCCAGTACCACTAGTCCAAAAAAAGTTCACTTTATGGCGCTGCATCTAAACTAGCTAGTAATGTCGGTACTGGTTGACCGATATACCACTTTCACGATGATGTCAAGTTCTGCAAATCAGGCTTCGCTCGCAACGCCATTTGAAAGGTGTGTTCCCTTGCGTCGCTGCAACGTTGCACCTTTCAAGGGCTAATGCCGTTTGGACTCCAGCAATTTCGGCACCGAGCTCATTTTTAAATTGCCTAAGTCACCAAATCCGCTAAAAACTTGTATTAGGGGTAGTTTAACATCCTGATTACGAATGTGACATTCACTCTTGCCGCTGGCGCTAATGGATGACACTACGATTACCTGCGCTCCGCTAAGGCTGAGCCCAAGAGGTAATCGTAGTGTCATCCCTTGGCGCCAGCGCCAAGAATGAGTATCATAATTGTAATAATGGTAAACAACCCTTGTGTACATGTTTTCAGCGGGTTTGGTGACTTAGGCAATTTAAAAATGAGCTCGGTGCCGAAATTGCTGGAGTCCAAACGGCATTAGCCCGCTTTCATAGCGGTGCACTACCACACCCACTCTGCCTTCATAACAAAGTGTTGCCAGACAGCAGTGTAATTTTTCATGCTTTATTAAGTGATTTTGGGTGAAGGAACGTGCTGATTTTAATAGAGTTCACTCGTAAACTAAAAAGTGAACAGAATTTGTATTGTTCTGATAGGAGTGATAGTTTGCTATGGACGTGAAAGAACGTCGCGTCGATCGTCTTCAGCACTTTTTTCACCAACCTGCAAGAAGTAATTTACACGTATGGAAATACTGTCGCCTTATTTCATGATTTTGGTAGTAAATTAACATCGCAATGTAAATTGATCTGAAATGGTGTGCAGCAACCTGCTCCTGCTCATTCATCCTTGTGACACGTGCTATGTTAGGTAAGAACGCCAGAGTGTTTCAGATAGACTGTCATCGCCGCTCCAACAGATAGGAGAGTGCCTTTGCGCATGGATCGCATGCTGGAGTGCGCTACTTTGGCGCTTCTCAATCTGTTAGATGTGGGCTCGTCGCTTCTCACGGTCTGTTTTCTCGAGACATTGCTCAATTGCTTCTCTTCCGTCGATCGCTTCTTCTCGTAGTTTGGAATGCTCAAAACAAACTGCAGAGGAGGAACAGCCTTTTTCAGAGCGGGCTCAATGTTCAACTCCTTTTTCTTCACGACTGGGTTGTATAGCGCCCATAAACTAATATCCCACGAAGTAGTATGTCTTTCCTGGTCGAATATGAGCTTGAGGGCTACAGTATGCGTGAAAGGTATGGCGCTACAAAACAAAACTGACTGACCACGTTGTCCACCCATTCCGTGGATTTCCTGTGGACCATACAAGTCATGCTCACCATGCCGTTCATCACCGTGTGGACTATGGCTGCCTTCGTGTGGATAAGGTCGTGCGTCGTGTAAAGGTAGTTGCGCCATGACTCGCGCCATGACAAATTTTAGCAATAGGTAGGCCTAAAAAATTAAATTGTGCTCCAGTCACAACATACGCCAAAAGTCCAATTGAACTCCATGTCCCGAAGTTTGGGAGGGCGTGGACGCGTGACCCATTTGAGTATCGCGACGGCTAGTGAATATTTGTGATTCGGGGCAATTATGCTCATGTCTTTGCTGCGAAAGTCCTGATCATGGTTGTATCAAGAGGGATTATTCCCAGGAAAAACGAGTCCTACGATGTCTTCTACTGAAGTTCGCGGGCAGGCGTCTCCCACTTCTGAAAAATGAAGTAACGTCGCAAATGCTCGGGCTTAGCACTGGTTGGTTTCTTCCCAAACTGGTGGCAAGCCGAACATCAGTCGGCTAGAGCAAGGCGCCGACGGCTGGTCCAATGATGGTCCTACTGACCGTTTCGACTGATTGCGACTTTTTCAAATATGTTATGCTGTTCAACAGCACACTCACAGTCCCTAGCACCCCATTAGCTATGCATGTAAAAGAATGGGTATCGGTTGTCACCTTACTCAGGAGGCAAAAAGTAAATCTCAATTTCTAGTGCAGGTGGAAGGCTGAAACGTGATAGCTTCGTACAGTTATTTCCTGAAGGGCTAGTCAGGGAGCAGGGTTTGGGCGGCGCGGCGCGGACCCGTTCCCCACCAAGCGGTAGAGCGGGCAAGCGGGAACAGTTGACCGAAGCGTTTGCATAGAAAAGACTACAGACGGATTTCAAGACAGACAACCTCTGGGTGTTCAGCTTCCATCGCTTGCATTTTCTGGATCATCTCCTCTATAGGCAGATCTTGATTGTCCATAACAGTTGTGTAGTTTTTCAGAGCAATCGGTAGTGTCGGTATTACTTCGTCGACGCGCATGGTGAAACCCGTCCTAGCCTTCCTCGCATTCTTTTCCATTTCGGCGTTGAAACGCTTCACTTCCTCCTTAACTCGGCGTAGTTTTAATCGGAATTTCACTCATTGTCAGAGTTCGACTTACCAGAATTCCGTGTTTTTGTGCCCATTTTTCAATAAGCCTCTTCTGCTGGCGTCGGCTCAGTTTGAGATTGAAATATATATCGAGGTAATCCTCTTTTGCCTCTCGACCAACAATGTTGGTGTACGGTGGTAAAGGAGTTTTCAAGTGATGTCTGTAACCATGACGAGCTCTGTGAGCTGCAACGAAAACCGCAACGAAAAGCAGAGCAATGGCAATTTTCATCTGAAAACTGTTCTGAGTATTGTTGATTGAGAGCTTATAAGATCGAAAAAAATTGAAAAGAAGGGTGTCAAGTGACGTAGATTGAAAACCTGGACCAAAACGCATGACTGCCATGTCAGCTCTGCTTCAGCCCGTTTTTATACGGGCCATTTGTCGCGCTGATGTTTTGGTGTCCACTGAATTGACAAAGCGTTTTGTCGCGCAAATAAATGAATCTTCAATGGAAACACGTAACAGTTTCTGACGAACTGCTTGGTCTTTCAATCGACTGTGACAAAACAGAAGTGCTGAGGGCGATGTCGCTGCTACCTAAATTGCGTGGGTATGGCTCTACCCGTCAGCTCTTTGAATTGGTATGGCAGGTTGAATGGATTCTGATGGAAGATCAGTTTGAAGCATTTTTTCCAGCACTGAATTATAGTACTCAAAAGTCGGTTCAACGGGGCGTGTCAGAGTGACGTGGACTTTGGATCGGCGCCAGCTCAATTTCCACCAATTACTGCTCGCCCATATGGAAACGACTGTTGGAACGAGTGGCGCCGCGCCAAAATCATGCCGACACGCACTTTTGGTTCCCTTATTGAGGAGTGTACCTCCACCATTGCGACCAGAGGTAGTAAACACCCATCTTTTTGGAATAAATCAAAGCTCTCTGAATTAAGATATCCATGCTGCTGATGCTGAGATGCTTCAGCATAATCCATCCAGCATGTTGGCAGAGCTCAAAATAAAAAGTTTTTTTGCCCAGCCGGAAGGCAACAGTGGAAAAGCTGAAGCTCGCGTAGCGTTGAGAAACTTCTTCTAGAGCGCGGTGCGCATTCCTCCTACAGTAAGAATCGCAGTGCTTGATTGGATGCGGCATGGCCTACACAATTCCAGGTGAACTTTTTACCAATTTACTGGGTCTACAATGTAGAGGGCATGGTTGGCCTGAGCAGGAGCTGATCGTTTATCCAATTTATTCAACCCAACCTTACAGTGCACCACCCTCCCATAATCATCAACGTTGCTACTATAATTCCACTGTTAAATGCAAGTTGCACAATAATCCCGAACGTGACAGGACAGAAGTCGGCGCCCCTGAGCAGGCGCTGCGCGGCACATTTCCTGAGGAGACTACCCTTATGGCGCCTCACCAAACTGCAGCATACGGCCCGGTAAAGACTCTTCCCCCTCCCCCTTCTGCCCACAAATGTCTGATTGATGCTGAATCTCGCTTCATCCGCGAAGAACACTATGGAGCGAAGGGATACAGGGAGCGGCTGCGGTGCTGCATGGATATATGCGTGCCCACATGCAGCCGTATCTGCCGTAAGAGCAAGCTGACACGATGCCAGCAAGAAACTCGTCTCGAATGGTGGGAGTGTAGTGATAAGGGGAAATTGCTGATATTGTTTCGATACGGACAGGTGAGAACTCGTCTGAGCACGAGCCCTTTTGATCGTATTTTCGCACGTTGAGTCAGAAGTGGGCTCTATCCGAGGCGAACAACGCTGTGCAATTCAAGGAAACGAAGGCTCTGCACTCGAGGGAGAGCCAGTCTCTAGCAAAACGTAGCAACGTCATGTTCTGATGCAGCAAATTCGAGCGATGCTGCCCAAAGTAGAGGGTTCACACTTAGGAAGGGTAATATTCGCTGAGGACGATCAAGCCTTTGATGATCAGATCAACGGTATCCGCCATATTTGTTTGAAGTGCGCAGCCACTCCCTCCCTACAGCGTGGACGTGAACGTGCGAAGGATAATCGTGCTAATCCCTTGGGATTTTTTTAATTCCTCAATCCAAGTCCTGTATGCACCGGTGAAGCCGCCGGTGCATACAGGACTCAGCCGCGCAGTGTGATGCCGCAGACTTCCAGCACCGCTCTCGTCGCACCGAAGCTAAAATTTCCTTCCCAACCTGACAGTGTAGCACGTTCCTCGTATAGTTTCTTGCTCGCTGCAGGTGCTGGGACGCGTCAGGGGACTGGAATGCGGCATAAGTCCGTTCTCATCCAATTCTTGAAGAGGGAAAAGTGACTGCAGTAACAAGAGGACGGATGTCCGCTCGCCTCGAACCCTGCCCCTCTCCTGACACGTTAGGCACATCGCCAGTGCACAGACTGTATTCTTTTTTCGCAGTGCGGACTAGCTGATAATTTTAACATGATTTCTCCCATGCACTGATAGAAGGAGGGTAAGTTATCTGCGCGGATGGAACCTTGAAAGGTGCGTCGTGCATTCATTCCAGAGCGAAAATATATACATTCGTATAGTGAAGGCTTTTGCCCGGATCAGTGGGAAGATAATGGCGTGGGAGGATAGTGTGGTCGGCGACCAAACACCTTGTACCGGTTCAGCAGCAAAAAAATCGTAAGGGTAGGGCGCTATAGCGCAATATAGATTCAGTGAAGCCTCCTCTTTTCCAGTGGCGCCTCCTCCAGACTCGGCCTTCAAGGCCTATCTTTCAGTGAAAAGCGAAGCTGCAGGGCGAAAAAGCTTGAAAAATCGTCACGTGTACGATCGTGGAGTTCCTTTCATGGAATCAAAAGTGCGGATAAGGGCTCAATGTTGAAATGGAGTTAATTGGACACGTACAAACTGAAATCGAATAGGGTTCTACCTAGGGCAGTTAACACGTTTTTTCTACTTTATTTATTCACTTATTGATTTATTTTATTGATTATATGCACGCACAGGTCGCCAGCAGACATGAGCGAAACTTCGGTTACAAAATAAAACAATATAAAGGAAAAGCAACGAGAACACAGCCGATTTGGCAACGAAAATGCCCAAAAGCTGGGGGCCCTCCAGAGCCCAAGCTTCTGAAAATCCTGAATGCCATCCATAGTCAGTATGCCAACTTCCTTGAGCCTCCTCTTGAAAGGTATTTGGTTGGGTTTTTTCTTCTTCACTATGAATATGCTCAGAACCTTGTCGTCTACATGCAACCATCCCACTAATTGTTATAGCTGATGATCGCAGGCCTTCCGTTCAACCCTGGCGGGCGCTACATGCTTCTAAAATGGGACGCTGGTTTGAGAAAGAGGTAGCAGCTATGCCACCCAACAGGAATTGAGAATTTAGGTCTCAAATATTCAAGTAGTGTACGAGCACAAAAGGCTTCTCCTAATCATGCGCCAGTAACTAGCCCAAAAATAAAAAGTTCACCAAGATTCATTAGCGCTACTCCGTGAACTCGGCGATCTTCATCGTGTTACGCATACTCGATATAAGGGCACTTCATGATTAGGTCAAGTTCTGGGTGGAGGCATCGCCGTTACGCAGGCTCCATGGAAAGTGTATTCCGCTCGCATCGCTACCACCATGGGGGCCGGTCAACCAGGTGGATTCGCCTAATGGCCCGCTCTGCTCCTGAACAAGCTTGTAGACAACGAATGTAATTTTTTTCATAGCTTTATTGAAGTATTTTGGGTGGAGGAAATGTGCGTGATTTAATAGAACGTCGCTCGGGTGGGAACAAATAGTGAACATTTTGAATGATCTGATGGAAGTGAATCTGCTAAGAACGTGAAGAAGGTCGAGTCGAGCTCTCCTCAGTACTTTCTTCCCCGACCTGCAAGAAGTAATTTACACCGTGTGGAACTACTGTCTTCTAACTCTATGAATTTCGGTGGCGAAGTAAACAGGCTGGCAATGTGCTTTTCTGGGTGCGCGGCAATAACCTGTGCTCCTGGCTCCTTCATCCCGGAACTGGCGAGCGTAAGCGACGCCGGAGGCTTTTAGCCTCAGAAACCGTTCACGCTCCAACAAATAGGGAGACGCGCTCGTAACCGAGCATCCGATCGCTGCTGAAGAAGTGCGCTTGGCTTTACGCGCTTGCGTACCTGTTAGATGTGCTTATCTCGCTTCTTCACGGGGTCGGCTCACCCATTACCGCTCCGTCACTCGAGAGTGCGAACTATGACTCCCTTCGTGTCGATGAGGTCGTGCGTTGTGTAAAAGCTGTCGAGTCATAGAGTGCGACACGATAAATTTTGGCATATGATACGCATAAACATTCAGCTATACTTCACGAGGTCAAAAGTTCAATTATCCTCCATGCCCCGAAGTTTGGGAGGGCGTGGACGCGTGACCCATTTGAGTATCGCGACAGCTAGTGAATATTTCTTATCTGGGGCGATTGTGCTCATGTCTTCGCCGCGAAAGACTAGAATTATAATTGTTTCAAGAGGGAGTATCCCAGGAAAAACGCGTCCTACGATGTCTTCTACTGAAGTTCGCGGGCAGGCGTCTCCCACTTCTGAAAAATGAAGTAACGTCGCAAATGCTCGGGCTTAGCACTGGTTGGTTTCATCCCAAACTGGTGGCAAGCCGAACACCAGTGGTAGAGCAAGGCAGCCGAAGGCGGGCCCACTCTGTCCTACTGACCGTTTCGACTGATTGCGCGACTTTTTCAAATGTGTTATGCTGTTCAACAGCACACGCTCAGTCCTACCAACCCCAGTAGCCAGGACACTCACAGTCCCACCACCCCATTAGCTATGCATGTGAAAGAATGAGTATCGGTTGCCAGTGAGCAAATGCAATGCTCGATTCCAAGTGCAGGTGGAAGGCTGAAACGTGATAGCTTTGTACAGTTCGTTTCCTGAAGTTCTAGTCAGGGAGCAGGGTTGGGCGCGGCGCGGACCCGTTCTCCACCAAACGGTAGAGCTGGCAAGCGGGAACAATTGGTGGGACGGGGTGGCTTTGCGCCAAATACAGCGTCCATTACAAACCGAAGCCTTTGCTTAGAAAGCGACTACAGACGGATTTCAAGACAGACAACCTCTGGGTGTTCAGCTTCCATCGCTTGCATTTTCTGGATCATCTCCTCTATAGTTTGATTTTCATTGTCCACAACAGTTGTGTAGTTTTTCAGAGCAATCGGTATTACTTCGTCGATGAGCATGGTGAAAGCCGTCCTAGCCTTCCTCGCATTCTTTTCCATTTCGGCGATGAAACGCTTCACTTCCTCCTTAACTCGGCGTAGTTTTATCGGAATTTCACTCATTGTCAGAGGTCGACCTACCAAAATTCCGTGTTTTTGTGCCCATTTTTCAATTAGCCTCTTCTTAGCGCCTGAGCCCAGTTTGATGTTGGTAATTAGATTGAGCAACTGCTCTTTTGCCTTTTCATCAACATTCCTGAGGTACGGTGGTAAAGGAGCTGCCCAGGAGTGTCTAGAGCTGTGAACTGCCGTTACCGCAACGAAAAGCAGAGCAAGGGCAATTTTCATCTGGAAATTGTTCTGAGTAATGTTGAATGAAAACTTCTGGCATCGAAAAAATTGAAAAGAAGAGTGTCAATTGACGTAGATTGAAAACCTGGACCAAAACGCATGACTGCCATGTCAGCTCTGCTTCAGCCCATTATTATACGGGCCATTTGGTCGCACTGATGTTTTGGTGTCCACTGAATTGACAAAGCGTTTTGTCGCGCAAATAAGTGAATCTTCAATGGAAACACGTAACAGTTTCTGACGAACTGCTTGGTCTTTCGATGGACTGTAACAAGACAGAAGTGCTGAGGGCGATGTCGCTACTACCTGCGTGGGGATGGCTCTACCCAGCTCTTTGAACTCCTTGAATCGGTACGGCATGAACATTACTCTTGTTGAAAATAATTCTCTTACTCCAGGCACTCACAAGGGAGGTCGTTCAGGGCGTGGTGCGCTTTTCGAAAACGGTTTTTTGCATATTGTAGGGGCTCATGCAAGGACCTGAAAAGTGTGCTTCATTTTCGCTGCGCGCTTCCAGGAAAGGTAAAAAACGAGTGAAAAGAAATCTGTGGAATCTGCTTCGTTCTGGGCCTCTATGCGGCGTAGGTCACTTGCAACTTTGACCAGTTGCTGAGTGGGGGGTGGGCCGTTTGAATCGAAGCGAAAAATCGCCGTAAGTGAGCTTCCAACTTGGGTCATGTGCTCAAGGGTGAACGGCTTCTTGCAATGGTTTCATCAACGATAAGAGCGCTAGCATAGCCGAGCATCGGATGGCCTAGTGGATAGAGTGGAGGTTTCGCAATCAGGACAGTGAAGGGTGGGGTTGATTGGTTCGCGCTCCTGCGTCGTGGCTTTTTGCATTTTTTAGATTTTTGCTGTTCTCGCTTCCATTTGTGTCTGCGCATGATATAACTCGGATATTTTCCATTTATGGGCACATTCTGAGTAGCTGTACCTCATGAGTCAGTGCTATTAAAGTATTTCGATTTTCACAGGCACCATTGAACAAGATTGTTGCTGGACGTTGTTCCTCATAGGCTATGCAGTGGATCTGATTGCAAATTTGGTGACTTCTGGTGTGGTGTGAATTATAGATAATTTGGGGCCACATGTCCTTATGCCAGTACGTTATTCTCCAATGTAATTAACGTTACTACGCTATTCTGTCGCGGCAAATTGCGTGACGCGCAGGAATAGGTGTTATATTTGTGATCAGGACCCTGATTAGCCACTTGCCTCGATGTAACGAATATTGTGGTTAGAAGACAGTTGTTTCTGACCTTCGATTGGGTTGGCCTTATTGGGTTGTCCGGTGTCGCATGAGCGTCAAGCTGATATCATCGCTGAATACGAAGATGTGAAACTCCGCTCACATGGCGACCTAATATGGGTCGGTACCTATCAGACCGAAAAGTCAAAAAAATTTTTTCGCGTCAAACTTGCTCCTAGGGGTAGATCGAGCAGTCTGTACACGATTCTAGCTTTAATTCGGGTGGTCTAGTGCCATCTGGCAGCGTTGGCAAGTGCCGAATGGCTGAGTGTTGTGGCATACTAACGAATTCGAACGAAAAGCAGTTTTGCTTTCAGTAAAAATAGATGTTCCGGTTCATCGTGAATGTTGTATTTAGGAGCAGATGTATGTTAAGACAAATTGGATCGCATATGGGGGAGAATATTATATATTGTAGAGAACAAGAATTTTGTCCTCGTGGGGATCCTTGGTCGCGGGAGCACCGCATCGAGTCGACCTTTTTTTTTACGTTTTTCTTTATTCGTAGAAGCGCGCAGCGAAAACGAAACTCAGTTTTCTGGTCCTCGTATGTGCCCCTACAATATGCACAAGACCATTTTGAAAAAGCTCACCACGGGCCGCCTGAAGCGACCTCCATTGATAAGTTATATGTAGACTAGGGGCGTGTCAGAGTGACGTGGACGTTGGATCAGCGCCAGCTCAATTTCCACCAATTACTGCCCGCTTGTATGGACAAAGACTGACGGAGAGCGGGCTGACGCCGCTCCAAAATCATACCGACACGCACTGCTTGGTTCTCTTGTTAAGAAGTGTACCTCCACCATTCTGACCAGAGGAAGTAAACACATCTTTTCAGAATAAATCAAAACTCTCGATTGAGATACCCATGCTTCAGCATCTCCTTTCAGCAGAGCTTGGAATAAGAAGTTTCTCGCCCAGCCGGAATTCGATAGCGAAAAAGATGAAGAAAGCGTCGTTGAGAAACTTCTTTGGAAGGCGGTGGGTATTCCTCCTACATTCAGAATAGCAGTGGCTTATTGGATTTGGATGGACTACACAATCATCCCAGGTGGACTTTTACCGGTTTAATGGGTCTAGAAGGTTGAAGGCTTCGTTGGCCTTATTGTTAGCATTAAATAACTGTTGATTCAGCACAACTTGACACAGCTCCACAAAATGATCAACATTGCTACTATAATTCCACTGTTGAAGGCAAGTGGCACAATAACCCCGAACGTGTAGGACTAATTTGCCTGACGGGAAAGAATTCGGAGCCCCTGACAAGCCCTTGTGAGCCCTAATAACACTCGCCTCCGGTTGATGAAGCGGGCCGAGCGACGGCCACTGGTGGAAAACGAGTTAGTTCTGCACCAAACCCCGCCCCCGACACGCCCCAGCATAAAAGACGAACAAGGCCGTGCAAATCAAGGAAACGAAGGCTTTGCACTCGAGCGAGAGTCACTCTCCAGCAAAACATAGCAACGTCAGTGTTCTGATGCGGCAAATTCGAGTGTGATGCCTAAGGTAGAGGGTGTACACGGAGAAATGGTAACCATCAAGGCCGACATTCTCTCGTTAAGAGGTTGCGGATGAACGGAGATGACGTAGCTTGGCTCTGCTGGAGTGATTTCTTTCTCGAGACGCAGAGCGTTTGGGTTACCTCATTGCATATGCTTTGAACATCCAGTTGTACAACCACAGTAACAAAAATGTCGTTGGTTACTAAAATCAGTTATGGATTTTCACTTCCGAAGACCGCAGCCTTCCTTGCACTTTTTGGCCATACCATTTACGTTGCGGCCATCTCGCTTCAATCAGGACAAAAATCTGAAATCACTTTTCATCATAATAAATCCATCCGTACTTCTCCAGCTCGGCCTGGGTCGCCTTTGCAGTGTGAGGTCGGGCGTTGTCATGGTGGAAGTAGATTTCCGCATTCCTTCCACGAGTACGGTCGACGTGATCTTTCAATTTCCGCAGCTGGGTCACGTATGTGGAAGCGTCAATCGTCTGTCCCTTCTCCAGCAGCTCCCAGTACTCCATGCCTCTTCTGGACCACTGTATGTTGACCTGTAC